CCATCTGCGCAAGGCCAGCACCCACCCCCGGTCCAAACATGAAACAGAACTGGACGAGGGTTCCCACGTTTGCCATCAGCGCCGGTCGTTCGGCAGGCGCGGTGATGTCCGCGATGTACGCGTTGCACGCAGACATCGTACCTGAGCACGCCCCGATGAAGACGCGAGAGGCAAGCAGCAGCAAATACGAAGGCGCGAAGGACGACCCCAGCATTCCGACCATCGCGCCTCCCAGAGTCACGGTCAGGATTTTGCGACGGCCAATCCTGTCGCTCAGTGGGCCCATCCAGCCATTGGAGAGCAGCTGAGCAATGCCGAACGACGAGTAGAGGTAGCCGAGGGATGGAGCTGAGCCTCCCAGCTGGGGGGGGGGGGGTGCGCCGGAGCCGACGTGGAAGGAGACGCCGACGACCTACGAAAGAAGTGCGGCAGCCGTGTTTGAGTGTTCGAGCGCCGACGTCGACGACGCGCCGTCGACCGCTAGGCCCAAGCGGTGCTAGATCTCGGCCAGATCTCGGCCAGATCTCGTCCAGATCTCGGCCAGATCTCGGCTGTATCTGGTCGACCGTCAGGCCGAGTCCGTGCGCCACGTCGAGCAGCGCCGCCGCCTCGGCCGGCCGCGCGCCGTACTTGTTTGAGAGGACGCACTGCGCCTGCGGGAGGGTCATCTCGTGTCATCTCGTGTCATCTCGTGCGATCTCGTGCGATCTCGTGCGATCTCGTGCGATCTCGGCTGATCTCGTGTCATCTCGTGCGATCTCGTGCGATCTCGTGCGATCTCGTGCGATCTCGTGCGATCTCGTGCGATCTCGGCTGATCTCGTGTCATCTCGTGCGATCTCGTGCGATCTCGGCTGATCTCGTGTCATCTCGCGTGCTCGTCTGAGAGGACGCACTGCGCTTGAGGTCGTCGACGGCCGAGGTGTGAGCCGAGGTGCAACTCTGAGCCGAGGTGCGCCCGAATGCAAACGGGAATGCAAAATGGGCCTGTGACGTGCCCGAAGTGTCCCCGAAGTGTCCCCGAAGTGTCCCCGAAGTGTCCCCGAAGTGTCTCCCTGAAGTGACTCCCCGAAGTGTGCAGCAAACCCTCTGGCGCGTCTGCTCTCGCAAGACCGCCGCTCGCAAGGCCGTGCAGGGGCTTCTGGGCTGGCGCCCCTCCGCCACCGGAAGCAGTGTCCCCCGACGTGTGCACCCGCAAGTGCCTGTGGCGCGCCTGCGAGTCGTCGACAGCGACGCGGAGGAGGAGGCGCATCGAGGGCGCCAGCGCGGCCATCTTGCGCAGCTCCGCCTCGCCTGCGGGGGACATGTCGTGGACACGTCTTGGACATGTCTTGGAAATCTCTTGGACATGTCGTGGACACGTCTTGGACATGTCTTGGAAATCTCTTGGACATGTCTTGGAAATCTCTTGGACATGTCGTGGACATGCCGCGGAGAGGGCCGATGCTTGCGCAGCTCCGACGCGCCGTCAAAGACGGTCATGATCTCGTGCGATATCTCATGTGATCTCGTGCGATCTCGTGCGCCGTCAAAAACGGTCAGCGGCACCTGGCAGTGTCTCGGAAGTGTCTCGGAGGTGTCTCAGAAGTGTCGAAGTGTCTCGGAAGTGCCCTGCAGGCGCGCCGTCAAAGACGGTCAGCGGGACGCCCTCCTTGGACGCGCACCGCACGTGGGAGGGC